GATCAGTAGCTTTCTAAGGGAGAAGGAATTTGTGAAGTGAACGACTGAGCATCGAGTATATTTAAGGAGAAGCAATGTTGAATTTCTTATACTATGTCTCTATGTCGATGACCTGTTGATAACAGAAAGTTGCAAGAAGGAGATCGAAGATTTCAAACATGACCTAAGTGAGGAGTTTGAAATGTCAGACTTGGAAAATCTCTCATATTCCCTTGGCGTCCAATTCTATAAAAGTGGTAGAGGTTTGATGATGCACCAAAGAAGATATACAGTCGAAATACTCAAGAGATTTTAGATGCAAAATTACAACCCAACTTCGACTCCATCTATTGGAACTGTCGAAAGATTCAGATGAAGATGATGTCGACCCAACCCAATATAGAAGACTTCTTGGGTCATTTGGATACCTTTGTCACACAAGGCCTGACTTAGCGTACAATGTGGGTATGGTAAGTAGATTCATGTAGAAGCTAAAGGTATCACACCTAGCAGCGATGAAGAGGATGCTAAGGTATCTAAAAGGAACTTTCGACTACGAAATTTGTTTCCTGCAGCTGATGAAGGAAAAGAATGTGATTTAGTGGGATACACCGACTCAAGTTGGTGTAGTGATGTTGAGGATAGAAAATCCGCATCTAGCTACATTTTTATGCTAGGTGGTGCACTAGTTGCTTGGAGTTCGAGAAGAGTCAGTAATGGCATTATCGTCATGCGAATTAGAACATAGTTGTTTCTCTTTGTGCATGTCCAACAAAAATGGATGGTGAATCTGGTCAAAGAGATTACAGTGAAGAGTCATGGAGTAATTACCATGAAGATCGACGACATGTCAGCTATCAACCTGGCGATGAATCCAATAGAACATGGACGAAAAAAACACATCAAAATGAGGTTCCATTATCTTCGAGAGCAGGTAGCAGAAGGGAAGATGAACTTGGAACACTGCAGAACTGAGAATCAGTTTGCAGATATCATGACGAAAGGAGTGCAAGTCGAAGGGTTCAAGAAGTTAAGGTCTATGATGAATATAGATAGCTTAGACACAATAAATTAGGTGGTGTGTTGAGTTTATAATTTCTTGTTTCGAAGCAGTGTAGCTCGACAGAAATAATAATTAGTCGAATTATCTTAAGGGGTGTTTGTGTGTGCGTGTGTGTCAAGTTGGTTAGATGTCGAAGTGCCGAAGCAGGTTGCTTGACACAGAATTTCGACTTACACCAAAATTAGTAATTTTAGGCTTTTATAGTTTTGAGTTTTCTTCTATTATAAATAAAGGGAGTAACCCATATTTTATAATAACTTTTATTCACAGTTTTTACAGTTGCAAAATGAATAAATAAGTTTTCCACAATTTGTGGGTGGATATTTCGCAATTGAAATCATTCTCTTCTTCCTTTGATTTTGTTAAACTATTTCTTTCTTTCTCGTTTTTCATTAAAATTGTTATGCATAATCTTTCTTGAGATCAAGATTGATTAAAAGATTTTGGATTAATTCCAACAGTTCTGTCGTAATTGTCAAATTTTAGTAGTTTCTCCAATGACTTCTAAATCATTTAGTCAATAATGTGATTGGTGAATGAATTATTTATGTAATGAGAAAAGGCATGGTAAGTAGTTATGTGCTCGTTCCCCTTCTAAGAACGATATGAGAAAGTTTCCCTAGAGTGGTGATCCTCGGGTAGGGTGTGAAGGCTATTGCTACCTCTTGAGTCATGAGAATGAGAATTTCATTTGTGTTGGTGGCGATGACTTTTCTTGTATAACTCACGCGCTCTTTTTGGATGTGACGCGACATCAATGGGAGCACCCTCAAGGTTGTTTTAGGGTGACCATGTTACATCATCTCTAGTTAAGTTGCATTTTAAGAAGGAATTTTGTTACTTATTCAATTTTGTGTGGGAGGTTTTTCACTGGGGATATTCATATTTTATTGTTGCACTAAGTTGTAGATGTTCTTCACGAGTTCGTTTGCACCGTGCATTCCCAGCATCACTTAGACTTGTTGGAGACTCTGATAAATCTGGTTCAAGAGAGTGCAATTGTGGTGAAGCATGAGGTTGGCACAACGTGACAATATCTTGGAGCATTTGAATCACTGATTGAACCTCAGGTGTGAGAATGGTGTTGCGGTAAGTGGTAAATCTGGTTGCCTTAGACAGATCTACCGTTGAAGATTATCACGAGAAACAATTTTAGAGGGATTTAAAAGTGATTAGAACTCAATAACATATACGATTACGATTCTTAAAATTGTTAAAAGAAAATGGTTCAACGGGGCTATAGAAGAAATTGAGATAATATAAGTAATTCGTGAGATTTAAAATGAAATTCCCACATACATAGACATTATTCCAGTAAAAAAAAAAGTAGTATGTTAATGATCATTGTGACACTATTCATGTCACAGCACTTTAATTCATAGTAGTTCATAGTAGTTCACATTTATGCAAGAATTATGTATATACATTCTTATGTAAAACACTCCATAAGACACTCAATACCATACAACTTCGATCGTGACACTATGCATTTGTAGAAGACAAACATATTCAGGTCTAAATAAATTCATTCAACTTAATTTGAGGTCAAATAAAAGTTGCAAGGTAGCTCCTAACATTACGGAATTATCTGCAAGGTAGCCCCTAAAATCTATTGAGTAAACCTCCACCACTATGTTCATAATGTCGTGTTCCCCCAACATTTGGTTGATAAACCTTCACATAATTTACTAATATATTATGCATGTTTACACCATATCATTAACTCTCACTTCTCATCTTCCCATATGTATATCCTAAGTCACTCCTTATTTTGAGAACTAACATTGACATGGGTCCAACAGATTTACATTACACACTTTTCACATATCGCAACATACTTATGCTTCACTTAATTAAAACACATGTACATGATTCAATCATTGTATACCCAGTCAATTACAATCACATACACTTTAGATAATTAGCTAATATTCATTTAGTTTTAATTTATCCAATATCACATTTAATTAATTAGATTGTTAAATAGAACTTAAACAATTGATAAATTCCACACACACAAAAATGTAAAAAATAGTGCAACCTATTCACTAATATACACATGATCAAAGATGTAAGAATTGATTTGAGACCGAAGATTTAACGAGAGAATTTTAGTGTTTGAAGAAGAGAGCTCTAGGTTGTGGCCAAGGGTTTAAAGTTTACCTTCACAATTTTGACTTTTTACTTAAATAGCATATGAATCATACATCTGGCCACATATGAACCATACATCTAACTTAAATTGTTTGTTCGTACATACGAGATAATTCCATAGTAAAGGAGACTCATGAGGTAACCAAAGCATTTTTCCCAAACTTATCTCTCACATGCGATGTTACACAAACAAAATTTTAACTCCCGTCATCTTAAGTATATGCGAGCAATATGCCTCACACATGTAATGAGGTTTGAACTGAGGGTGAAATCCTTTCACCCGCGTGTTCACTAGCATATGCATGTGACGCCTAACATATAGACAACTTCACATTCACGTGATCATAATTCAACAATATGCATAATCACAATGAAGTAACACATAGTCACAAACCCATAACCTCAGTCATAAAATAAAAACAAGATCCAAGGTGTTACATGTTACACCCTTGGCTTTGCTGAACAAACAGCATTGGGAAGAAAAGTGATTTCAGATTTCTTTTGGGGGATGAAGTCAGATGAGAAGGGTTTTTAGGTTTTGTTTTCTCAATTTCTGATGCATTTTTGAAAGTAATTGAAAATTTCGTTATGTGCGGACTGGACGGTTTAAAGAAACTGGCTCTGGTGGTTTATAATAGACAATGAAGGTTGTCTTTAACTATATTATCTATGATTTTTATTGTAATGATTATGATGATTAATATAAACAAATTTTATCATGTCTACCAAACTTAAAATCTGTATACCTTTGTACCTGTATTAAAAGTGCCTCATCAGCAAAACACTAACTAATCATTGACATAAACTCAATTTCCACATGAATGGAAGAAAATTGAGCTGTGTTAACTTAGTTTTACTGAAAATATTCATTCTCCTACATACATAGTAAAAGCTGTAGCCATCAAAATTTCTTGTCCCCGGCTCATCATGCTTCTTGATATACTATTGAGTCCAACAGTATGTTTGTCCCAAAAAAACTCAATTATTTTGGGTCCAAACGTACGTTTGGAGCTTTTCAACTGAAATCCAAATAGTTCAGCACCTTGGAGGATTGGCGCTACTATCAAGAAACGGTTCGTCCATAGCAAATAGAGGCAATGTAGAGGTTCTTGTCCCACTTATCCTGTGATAAAACCAAAAATGATCATACTGCAATTAACTCTAAATTAGGTGTATAAACAACAAAATGTGACTATATGACCCACCTTAACATGGGTACTAGGAAAAGCAGTAGTCCTCAGTGTTTCCTGAGTTTCGTCCTGGGGCTTCTTACTAGGAACACTCAGAACAAAAGCAGCTTGGTCCCAAGTTGCAGCAAGCGATGTGATTCGGTAACCAGCCTCCCACCGCTTGTGAATCCCTTCACTAGGATACAGAAAGTCTAGTTCGACCACCTGCAAATTCATAAACTAAAATGAATACTAATTCATACTATTAAGTTGCCTTATGACTTAACTACTGTCAGATAAAAGCTGAAATCAAAGATGACCTGCTCTGTAAACCCTGCCCCACGAGACATAACAACTCCCCATCTGGCCCCTGCGGTGGCCATTGAAGTTACATAAAAGCCCTCCTTCCACTTTTTGTTAATCCATTTGAAAGGAAATGAATCACTAACTTTGTATGATTGCTGCAAATACTGGGTGCCTGAAATCCATGATCTAAGTTAACGGAAAGCGAAGTGGAGAATTGACAAAGTACATAAGGCAATATATATCTTAAAAGGAACCAACCTTTAGACATTACTACAAGTGAACTCCCATTAACAACTCCTGCAACTGCACTGATATAATAATTTTTTTCCCACTGCTCCATAATCCATTCCTTTAATAAAATCAAAAAACAGAAAATCCCTTGTAAATAATAAGTGTGGCTTGAAAATATAAGGATTAACAATTCAACAACCATGCATATTTGGTGTGCTAAGCAGAAAAGTTAATAATCCACAAGTAGAAGAATATATGGCAGTAGATTGAAATTTACCTTGTGCAAAAATTGGGGAGCGAGTTTATAAACTTGGGAAGTGAAACCTGTCCCTGCGTCCATGATTAAGGCCCATAGGCCCTGAGATGAAGAAACGCTGCTAATATATAAGCCGTCCTCATTTCCTTTCTCAATATGCTGGGCTAGCCTTGTACTTGACACATTGTAGTGATATCTACAACATAAAGAAACCCACTCCTAAATTAATGCATAACAATTCCCTTGCATCAAGCTTTAAAACCGGATAATAACCCTTAGCGTCTAATTTTTCTAATCAAAAGATTAAATCTAAAGAAAGTCAGACATATGCAATATATACACACAAAATGGGTAAAACAGATTCACACATATGGTATCAGTTGAAGAATCACAATCTTAATTCTAAGGACAGGAAAATGGAAGTCATCCCATTGTATCAACAAACTTTTAAGACTTATTCGTATACCTTTGTTTCATCGGTCTACGAGCATTGTAAACACTAATCCACTGATTTGCGGGCAACCCCATTCGAACCTTTTTTTTGGGTTGTTCATCATCATTGTCTGAAGCCAACCGGCCTCTTTTATGACCAACAAGCTTCAAGCAAAATAAAATTAGCAGTGTCAAGGGCTAGACTACAAACTACATCTATACATAAAACAACACGTGAGTAAAAGGATAGACAAACTGATACCTTTTGAGCACCTTCTGTATTAAGTGGCCTAATATCAGGGTTTGGACCAACAATCCCATCAAAGAAAGAAATGTATTTTGCATAATTAGGCTCTTCATCAAACTTTAAGCACACTACATGTTCAATAAACTCTTTAAAAGGCTGGGGACAAAAACAACAGAGGGTCTCTGGAGATGTCCCCATCTTCTTCCTGCAAACCTGATATCCTTTGTTTTCTCCCTGAGAAAAAAAAAATGCTTTTAGAACAGCATTCTCGACATGAGAAAAAAATGAAAAGTTGTTTAATATGGACCAACCTGGAATCCCTGCCAAGGAAGACGGCCTCGAAGAAGAAATATCAATGTATATGCAAGAGATTCCAAATCATCCCTCCTGCTTCCAGTTCTCCCTAAATGTGCATGCACACTTGCATAGCGGACTGTGCCCCTAAAAATATTTTTCCCGTGATACAAGTTAATATAAATACAGAGAACTCAAAAATATTTCAACATTTTCTGCAAGATCCCAAATTAATTATGAATACCTGAAAACATCAGGCCTTTGGTCATAGTTCACATGCAAACCAGATGTACTATCCCGCCATTTAGTAGCTGCAAGCCCAAAATGGCACAGAAAAAGCCAAATGGGTAATTTAATGATGCTAAAATATAAACATAACATGTGACCAGTAAATGATCAGTCAATAACTAAAACATACCTAAGCCAAGATCTACCAGGAACAATTTTTTCTCGTCAGGTGTCCCAGAAGCGCCAAGCAGAAAATTCTCAGGCTTCACATCTCCATGCACATACCTAACATAATTTCAATTGCTATTATAAAATATCTTAATCCCCATTTTCCTATGTACATTACTAATGTAAGCGGAAGAATAGGAGAAGAAGAAAGAATAGGTATATCTTCACAAAGAGTTTCTATCCACTATTCACAGGCATAACCCAAAAGGAAATGAATGCAAATGATTTGGAGTTCACGCATGGAAAAAAAATTAGTTGAGTGGTGATTAAATTACCCTCGAGAGTGCATCTTCTCCAATATGGAGATGGCTTCAATGGCAATACAAGCAACCATTTCAGTGGACAGGCTGGAATTGGCCAAAAAAACATTAACATATCAAATGAAAGTCAAAATTAACAACAGGGAATATACTTTTATGCACGTGTAACAAATAACTAACAAAAAACTTACGTGTGAGAGTAATTATTCCAAACATCCCACAAGCTAGGTCCTAGAACATCCATAATCTGCACATATGAAAGCTGTAAGCCAAACAGGGATCTTCAAACGAAGCAAATTTAAATTATAGAAAAATTACATCATGCTTCAAATAATAATTAAAAACAATCAAATCCAAACGACTAAAGAAAAAGATAAAATCAAATAACATACCATGATGAAATAGTCACCTTGCTTGCCCTTGTAATGTACCTGTGGCACACCATGACTTCCACCGAGGGTGCTGTACAAACAAAAAAAAGGTATAGAAAAACATGCATTGTACCCTAAAAATAGATAGTAAATTAAGAGAAAATACAAGAATGAGCAATAATAACACTCACTTGTATACTTGCCACTCATTTGGTGGTCCATTGTTACATCCTTTACTACTTGTGTGCTCAAATTTTATAGCTACCTGATTAAGCGATTAAAAACTGTGAATTCCTGAAATTGAAAGCATATAAAAATATAAAAAATATTACTCATCATTCTTTATAGATAGGAGACATATACACCTCTACAGCTCCAGGTCCAGTTCTCTCACTCAAATTTCCACCAGAAATGCGCCGACCAAAATATACTTGACCAAACCCACCCTTGCCAAGTTTTTTCTCTGTTTTATATAAAGGAGAATTGCCTACTTGAACCTGTGATAAGAAGAAAACAAAATCACGATATAAGTATTACCAGAACAGAGAAAATTTGAGGAGTTTTGTACTTTATTGGCGTCCATGATTGACTAAAACCCTGAGAAAATTAGCAAGAAAAAAAATAGTTTGAACAAATTACTGCTAACCAACAGTAACAACCCGAGCCTTTTCAATAACTATTTTTTTTAATAACTATTCAATAGTTTTCAAAATGCCGATGTTGCATGGAAAGCCAAAATTTCTACTAGGCTTACATCCATAACATCAGTCCAATCACTTTTATAAATAGATGGGTATTTTTATAAATGGAAGGGTATGCCATTAGACCAATGATCATATACTATTTCTAGAGAGAAAAATCATACTTTTAAAAGATCATGAAGTGTTGAGTTGAGAAACATTTAGTAGTGCTGACTATAGTTCAAGTGGTGGAGGCAAGTAATATGTTGGATGTCATCAAGAATCAATACTGATTATGTATCACACACTACCAGGCACCAGCACAGTAAGTATTCACCTTATGATTTTATGTAGGATTGTCACACATGGCTTGGGGTTGATAAATTATAGTTGATTTTTTTTATATAAAGACTGGGTTGATAAATTATAGTTGATTTTTTTATATAAAGACTGGGTTGATGTGAATGCATGTTAAAAACCATACAGTTTTACAAATTATGATGGTATAAAGTATCAAAGAGAAAAAAAATGGAATGTGTGCTTCAACAAATCTAAATGCTGTGATTTTAGAAACCAGTAACAGAAAAATATGACGTTCCCATTCTATGGCCTATTTAGAGTAAAGAAATCAAAATAGAGGAGTTTTGTTCAGTAGAGACACAAACTTTGTCAACCATTAGTTCAAATTGTATGAATATGTACACTTCTACTCACAGAATGTCCTATCGGTTTTCAAAACCGAATAATTAAGTCATACACTTATACTATCGGTGACAAAGACTTGAATCGCATGAACAGATTGCAGCCGTGTCCTTTTTCCTGTCTCGAAAATCATACTAACTAATCACAACAACTAAAAAAACCAACAAAATATTCAACATCGCCAGACAAGGTCCACCCCAGATACTCTATACCCCTAGGCTGACCTTGAGGATCTAATTCACAAGCATGATTCCTGCTTTCACACAGATTCCTTACTTAGAAAAACATAAATTTAACAATAGCTCACTCCCCAAACAAGCCACAATCACAATAAAAAGTTGCCCCAAAACCATTTCAAACCTCTGGCCCAAAACACAACTAGAAAAATGAACTACTTGTAGTTTTCCCACATCAGGTTTACCAAAACATGAAAGTCCTCAAACCATAACACCTATTCATATAACACCCTGCACATGCACTTAACTAAAAGATAGTAATACTTGCATGGTAGATGAAAAGAAACACAACAGAACACAGAAGAATAATAAGAGACCTGTTCAGGAATAACCAATGCGTTACTGTCCTCTTCACCAGCTTCAGCCTTGCCATTGCTGTGACCTCCGTTATCACACTCATCCATCGCCTTCTCCTCTATCGCTTTCCCTTCCTTCACCACTGCAGCAACATCTACGTTCTCATTTACCGCAGCCGCCTGCACTTCAACCTTATCGTTCACAGCCGCTGCAGCTGCACTCCGCCGTCTCGTCCTATTTGCAATCGCTTCCTCTTCAACCGGACTTTGTTGTTGTTCCCCCTGCGGCTGTCGTTGTCGCTTCGGTGGCCGTCCCCGGCGCGCTCCACTTCCCACTACCGGCATGGCTCATTGTCTAAATCCCATCCTTCGGCAACCGGGAAAATAACCACCGGAAAATCGAAAACCGTATGAACTCCGTTTCACCCCGATCAGAACTCTCTCCACTTCACCAAACGAATGTCGAGGTGAACAATACTGTTTTCAAAAAATCTTGAAACGGTTTTTCAAAAGACGAAAATGAATGAGAAAAATGCGATGAATTGAAAGGGTTTTTAGTTGATAATGTTGAACCCTAAATTTGGTGATATCAGAGAATTTCACGGTAGAATTAGGGTTCTGACACAATGACACAGTGAAAGAAGAGGAAGAAGAAGCTACTGTATAGAACAAGAATGCGAGGAGAGAGAGAGAGAGAGAGAGAGAGAGAGAGAGAGAGAGAGAGAGAGAGAGAGAGAGAGGCTTTTCGGTACTTTGTTGTAAGATACAGAACACGAGGTTTTTATTTGCGTATAATTCATACACCATTTTTTCTTTCTTTTTATTAAAACAAAAAACGAATGCCATAAAGATAAAATTTAAAAAGTCTAAATAAAATATTTTTTTGAAATAGTTAAACATATTCTTCAACAATTCTAGATAAAATAGTTAAATAATTTTATAATTATATATTAAAATGATTCAGTTTTATTAGATGTCAATGTAAAATAGTTTTAAATTGACAGTATATTTTAATTAATCTCATATATAAATATTTATAATTTATAATCTATAATCTATAACATATATAAAGACAATACTTAATTTTTGGTGTAGCTTTTTTTATATCAAATTTATCTTTATTTTAAAATATATAATTTACACAATAACTTCCATTGAACTACTGCTATCATCTTTTATATAACTCTCCACTAATAACTTCCCACATAACTTTCATGTAAAATTAATATTAAATAAAAATATATCATTTATATTTATATGTGTGCAATAAAAAAGCGGACAGACGGACACGCGAGTGCCCGTCTGGACGCTAGTATTTATAATTAAAATAGAATAAATAAAGACTTAAAGTTAGTTAATATTTTATTACAATAAAAAATTTAATAAAATAAACAAAATATAATTAATTTGGTAACAACCCGTGAATTTGTAATATTCTAGATTAAAATAATTTTTTTATTTTTATTATTATATTTAATTTTTAATTAACAATTTTTTTAAAATTAATGTTTTTTTATAATAAGTTCATATATATATATATATATATATATATATATATATATATATATATATATATATATATATATATATATATATATATATATATATATATATATATATATATATATATATATATATATATATATATATATATTTGTTAACGTAGATTCACTTGTTTTTATAAAAGTCTATTTTAATAAAATTCACCTTATGGTATATTTAACTATTTTTTAGTTAAAACTTATTAAAACATACCTTCATAAAAACAAGAGGGTGTATTATAGCAAATTTGTGTGGGTTTACGTTAAGGTGCATTTAAGAATATTTTAGTTGAAGCTTGCTAAAATAGACTTTTATAAAAATAAGTAGCGTTACGTTAGCAAATCCATATATATATATATATATATATATATATATATATATATATATATATATATATATATATATATATATATATATATATATATATATATATATATATATATATATATATATATATATATATATATATATATATATATATATATATATATATAAAGTCATTAACTTTAAGCGAAGTTTCGCTTTAATCCATGAATTAAAAAGTGTTACGTAATGATCCTTTAATTTAAGTTTTGTTAAACACTTTGGTTTCTGCCGTTAGTTTGTATAAAAAAAAACGTTAGTTTATGTAAGGTGGCATGCCAAGTAAGTCAATTTAGGATTCCACATCAGCATATGTATATGTTGTCTTACATAGGGTTTCATATTTCACTCTTGCTACTTCATTCTTCTTCATCCATGTTTCATATTTCAACATATTCCATCTTCATCTTCAATTCAAGGTTAAATCCCTTTCTTCCAATTTCCTTCTACTATCTTCCATTTTCTTATGCAATTTGAGAATTAGGGTTCAAACAATGTCAAAAAGTGCAAGCAATGCTTCAACTTCAAACAACCATAGTTATGGCACATATGGATCTTTGATTCATAGAATAAAGAGGATCGAGTGTTTTTGCCAAGATGAAAGTGTTCTTAGAACAGTGAATGATGTGAAAAGTGTCAACAAGGGGAGAAAATTCTAGGGTTGTAGAAATTACATAAACCACATTGAAAAGGGTTGCAATTTCTTCAAGTGGTTGGGTGATGAGTTTCTTGATGAAAGGGATTTGAAGCTTGAAAGACAAAAGAATAAAATTGACAGATTGAAGAATGAAGTTATGTACACTCGAGGGTGGCTCAAAATGTCCATTGTTGTTGGGATTGTAAGCTTAGGTTTGAATCTTGTGTTTGTAACAATGTATCTCAATTAGTTTTAGGGCAGTTTTAAGTTATGTTCTTATGTTTGTAATAATGTATTGTTATGTTGTAACAAATTGATGAGTATGTTTAATGAATAATGTATTATTATGTTGTTTCAATGAATAATGTTTGTGTTCTGTTTTCACATTTTCATCGAATAAAGTCTTAATATTCAACCTGTAAAATATGCATAACCAATGACTAATATTTGTGGAAACAAATTGTAATATAACTTGTTCAAACATGTTTGATACATAACAGGTTCATTGAATAATGTCTCAATATCCAACCTGTAAAATATGCAGCCCAATGATCAATATTTGTGGAAACAAACGGTAACATGTTTGTTTCATAACAGGTTCAATAAAATTTTGATACATAACAAGTTCAATAACATGTTTGATACATAACAGGTTCAATAAAATTTTGATACATAACAGGTTCAATAACATGTTTGATACATAACAGGTTCAAAACATGTTTCAAAGTTTGATACATAACAGGTTCAATAACCATTCCAACATTCACTAACAAATTCAATATTTGATACACAACAGGTTCAATAAAACAAGACCATTATAAGGCAATACATTGTTTAATAAAACAAGGCCATTCAAATACCAAGAGGCCATTGTAAGGCATTACATAACAAGTTCAAAACCAAAAAGTCATTATAAGGCAATACATAACAGGTTCAAATACCAAAAGGACATTGTAAGGCATTACATAACAGGTTCAAAATCAAAAGGCCATTATAAGGCAATACATAACAAGCATTATAAGGTCATTAACAAAAACAAAAGAGTCAGACCATTAATTGGAATTACAAAATCCTAGTAAACATAATAATATTAATCATGGTTGGTTTTAAATAGGCTTGCCACCCTTATGAAGTTTTTTATTAGTTTTGGGTGGTGGCTGACTTGTAACTAACAGATTATGGTGGTGGTTGACTTGTAACAACAGATGGTGGTGGTTGACTTGTAACAGATTGTGGTGGTGACTAACTTATTGCAACAGATGGTGGTGGTTGACTTGTAACAGCTTGTGGTAGTGGTTAACTTGTTGTAACAGGTGGTGATTGACTTGTATTAGCTTATGATGGTTGCTGACTTATTGCATCTTGTACCTGACTTGAACTAGCTTGTGGTTGTGGTTGTTTACAAGTGGCCTTGTTGTGACCATCCTTGTGGCAATGACTACACTTTATACCATGTCTTTCCCTCTTCATGTGTGTCTCATCTCTCACCATCTCTTCATCTTCCATATTCCTTTTTTTCTTTGGCCTTCCAGACTGCCTCTTTATTGGTGGTGGCTGAAGATCAATAGCATTAGTCTTTACCCACAAGGTTTTCCCGTTAAGTGGATATATCACATTTGCATAGCATGCAGCATATTGTTCCTTTTTGTAACAGTCAGGTACAAAGTCATCAATCTCCAAATGTTGATCTTTCATGCAAGACATTGCATGACAACAAGGAAGTCCAGTTAGCATCCATAGTCTACATGAGCATTCTTTCTTGTAAAGGTTGACAGTATATTTTTCTCCATTGAATGAAGTATGTCTCACCTCATAGTCATATTCACCTGCATGCCTGTAAACAAGTAACCATTAACAATGATAGTCAATGTAAACAATTAGCCATTTGAAAGTAATGTTACCTCACAATCCAATGATTGGTTTTTTGTGACTCCTTTTTCATCCTCTTTTTGATGTTAGGTAATATGATGCCATCATATTTGGTGATCTTTTTCCTATTGGATTCCCATCTCTGCATTATGTATACTCTAATTTCTTCCAGCATTTTCACAATGGGCTTAGATCTAGCAGCCACAAAATACAGAATTAAAGGCCTCTGACATATTGTTAACCAAAGTGTCACAACATGAACTTGGCTAGAACCTTGATTTGCTCAAGAATCTTGGTGGAATTTTGATTAGGTGTTTTAAGGACTCTTCGTTAACTCCTTTGATTTCAAGCATTATTTTCTCCCAAGCATTAACATAACTTGCACATGCAGCCCTCCACATCAACTCCTTTATTTTCAGGCCAGGGAACTTTTTCCTGAAGTTACTATACAAATGTCTGCAATATAAAGTAAGTGTAAACATTACCAAGTATGTCATATTCAATATGCAAGTTACTAAACCAAGTATGTCATATTCAATATGTAAGTTACTAAGGTAAGAGTAAACATTACCTAACACAAAATCTCTGGTCAACATTGCCAAGTAATTCATCAAGAGCTGGCAGCAAACCCTGCATCCATAAATAAGTAAGAATGATGGTAAAAATAAAACAATTGGCTAACAGTTACTTTCCAAGTTGAGAGTTTAAAACCTAACCTTTTGGTAATCACTAATGAAGGTATATGTTCTTCACAACCTGACTCCTCCTAAATCAGGTATCAATAACTCTAGAACTAGCTCCATGAGTTTTTAGTTTCACCCTCAACAACAACATATGCAATTGGAAGCATTTGGTCATTTTGGTTCCTACCAAAAGCAGCTAGTGTTTGTCCTCTATAGTATCCCTTTAAGAAACAACCATCTAATCCTATAAT